CCCAACCCCAAACCCCAAACCCCCAACCCGAAACCCCCAACCCCAAACCCTAAACCCCAAACCCTAAACCCTAAACCCTAAACCCTAGCTCACCGCACATACTCCGAAGTGTAGTATTTGTCGAAGACGCTGCCGACGTTGCTGCGGATCCAAGCGCCAGCAATTGCTGCTTGTCTTCTTCCTCTGTCAGTGAGTCTATAGAGAGAGTTGTGGCGAGATCTGAATTCTCCAGACCAAACTGCTGCTGCTGCTGCTGCTGCTGCTGCTGCTGCTGCTGCTGCTGTTCCTGCTGCTGCTGCTGCTGTTCCCGCGCTCGGCGGCGCGCCCGCGGCCCCCGCAGACCCGCTCGGAGACGACCCCGAAGGCTCACACCCCTGCTGCTGCTGCTGCTGCTGCTGCTGCAGCTGCTGCTGCTGCTGCTGCTGCTGCTGCTGCAGCTGCCTGCACAGCCGCTGCGCCAAGTTGCCCTCCGACTGGCCGTGGCGGACCAGCACCAAATCTACGGGCATATTTCGGTGCATTCTCGGGGAAGTTTGGAAAGAAAAAAAGAAAAAAAGAAAAAGAAAAGAAAAAGAAAAGAAAAAGAAAAGAAAAAAAGACAAAAAGAGACACAAATAGATCAAATGAGACAATTCCAAGGCGTTTTACGAGTTGCGGAAGTGCTGCTTGTCAAGAAACGCCAAAAATCGAGTCATTCGCGCCCGCAGGACGAGGGTTTAGGGTTTAGGGTTTAGGGTTTAGGGTTTAGGGTTTAGGGTTTGGGGTCTGGGGGGCGGCGGTCTGCGGCGTCCAGACACCGCAGGAGGGGGGCGCTGCTGCAGTGAGTTGGGGTGTACGTACACCTGAGAAAGGCGTCGGGAGCCGCAGAAGAAGCAAAACTTTGTTCATAAATGCCTTTTTGACTTTTCGGATAATACCCCCCAGCTAGCTGCTGCTGGGGGTCCTGGGCCGGCCAAATTGAACTTAAATAGCTTTTATTTTGTCTTTTATTTATTTCCAAAACAATTCAATTAATTAATTTTAATTTAAATGCCAATTAAGGGAGTCTGGCTGCTGCGCTGCAGCGACGCGCGTTCGGGTGTACGTACACCAGCAGCGCCGCCGCTGCCGCGGGGCCCCCCGCTGCTGCTGCTGCGCCCCATTTTAATTCTTTTGGGATTTATATATTTCATTTAATTCATATTTTTACTTTCTTTACCCAATTAGTCCAAAAAAGGGAGGGTTTAGGGGCTCATTCCCCTCCTAGGGTTTGGGGGGCCCCTCGCCCGACGCCGCAACCCTAATTTAGGGTTTGCGCTGCAGCTTCTGCTGCTCTTCTTTGCGGCTCCGCTTCAGATCTTTCGAGCCTCCGAGCCACACCTGAGAAGACTGGGTTTTTCTGCTGCTGCTGCGCAGCAGCAGCAGCAACAGCAGCAGCAGCAGCAGCCAGAGCTGCAGCAGCAGCAGCAACAGCAAAACGGTGAGAAATCCACTGCAGTAACAGCGCTATCCGAAGCTCCTGCAGCGACACCAGCAGCAACTGCCTGGAGACAAGAGCAGCAGCAGCAACAGCAGCAGCAGCGCAGCAGTGACAGCAGCAGCAGCAGCAGTGACAGCAGCAGCAGCAGCAGCAGCAGCAGCAGCAAATGGCACCTGCTTCCGCGCGGCGTCGCTCTGAGAGCGTCGATGAGCTGCTGCCGAAGCAATACCTGCCGCTGCCAGATGCTGCTGCATATGTAGCAGCAGGTGAGACTCCTGCTGCTGCTGCTGCTGCAGCAGCTGCTGCTGCTGCAGATGCAGCAGCAGCAGCAGCAGCAGCAAAGCATCTTCCGGGAGATGAGGAGGAAGAGCTGATGCAAAAGGCAGCAGAGGCCTATTTGCTGTCTGTACACCTCGAAGCCAAAACCCTCCCGCAGTATGTTGCTGCTGCTGCTGCACCCAGCAGCAGCAGCAGCAGCAACAGCAGCAGCAAAAGACAGGAGCAGCAGCTGAAGACTTCAGCTGACGAGGCTGCGCCAAAAGGCGCCTCACGTGTGTCAGCAAAGAGCAACAAATGCAGCAGCAGCAGCAGCAGCAGCAGCAGCAGCAGCAGCGCGGGTTACGTCCAGCGGATGCTGCGACTGCAGCAGCAGCAGCAGCAGCAGCAGCAGCATCCGCCTCTTCCCGCTTGGGAGTCTGAGGCCCTGGACTTCTTCAAGAGGATTCGCGCCTGGCTTCAGGAGCAGCGGGAGCTGCACGAGCAGCAGCAGCAGCAGCAACAGCAGCAGCAGCAGCAGCAGCAGCAGCAGCAGCAGCAGCAGCAGCTATATACGCGTTGCCGCGAATGGGGGGAAACAGAGTGGCGATTATACTGCCGGCGATTTGCCCCCTCGCTGCAGCTGCTGCTGCACCTCGATGTCTGCTGCTGCTGCTTCCTGCTGCAGCTGCTGCTGCGCGACTTGGACGTGCAGCTGCAGCAGCACAGACACAAACAGCAGCAGCAGCAGCAGCAGCAGCAGCAACAGCAACCAGCTGCAGCAGCAAATGGGGCAGCAGCAGACGCAGCAGCAGCAGATGAAAAAGCAGCGCCGGGTGAAGCAGCAGGAGCAACACCAGCAGCAGCAGCAGCAGCAGCAGCAGCAGCAGCAGCAGCAGCAACAGCAGCAGATGCAAAAGACACCTGCTGCTCTTTTGCTGGAAGCGCTACTTCTTTGCCTCAGCTGTTTTGGTTGTTTTTCGTTCTCACTGCGCTAGACGAACTGGAGGTAGCTTTAGGGTTTAGGGTTTAGGGTTTAGGGTTTAGGGTTTAGGGTTCAGGGTTTTGGCCTGGCTGCAGCTGCTGCCGCCGCTGCTGAGCTGCTGTCCATTCTGCTGCTGACACTGTTGCAGCCCTTGCTTGTTGCTGCTGCTCATGCTGCTGCTGCTGCTCATGCTGCTGCTCATGCTGCTGCTGCTGCTGCTGCTGCTCATGCTGCTGCTGCTGCTGCTGCTGCTGCTGTGCAGGCTATGCGTTGCGAAGTTTCTTATATGCTGCAGCAGCTGCGGCGGCGCTGCCTGCGGCTGCGCAGCATGCTGGTGCAGCTGCTGGGGTGTACGGACACTTCAGATCAGCAGCAGCAGCAGCAGCAGCAGCAGCTGCTGCTGCTGCTGCATAGACCCTTGCCGTTTCAAATGAGCTGCAGCAGCAGCAGCAGCAGCAGCAACACTGACAACAGCAGTGGCAACTGCCATAGAAGCGCCGAAGGCGACTCTTCGGGCGCTGCTTCGCAGCAGCAGCAGCAGCAGCAGCAGCAACAGCAGCAGCAGCAGCAACAGCAGCAGCAGCAGCAGCAGCAGGCTGTGACTCCAAGGGAGACAGCCCTGCGTCACCAGCTAGCTGCTGTTGATGTGCTGCTGGTAATTATTGTCAACTTTTTTGGCCAAAAATAACTCCAAACCCTAAACCCTAAACCCTAAACCCTAAACCCTAATTCTATCGCACGCTGCTGCAGCGCGGCGCAACCGCTCGCCTCTACAAATGCAAAATGAACAAAACTACAAATTAAATAAATAAATAAATAAATAAATAAATAAATAAGTTTATTCATTATTTTATTTGTTATTTTATTTGTTTTATTTGTTTTATTATTTATTTTTTTTATTTTATTTATTTTATATATTTATTTATAAACAATTGAGGGCAAGAAGAAGCTGGGGGCTGAATAAGAAGGTAAATGAAGAATCCGAAATAAATAAAAATAAAAACATAAGTGCGTTTTCATAATAAAATAATAAATAATAATTAAGTAAATAAACAAATCAAAATAAATAAATAAATAAATAAATAGTAAATAACAAAAAGAGTTTAGTTATAAAACGCAGCAGTCTTTCGCCGTCTTCTGCGCTTGGCTTTTAGCGCGATAGAGTTTAGGGTTTAGGGTTTAGGGTTTGGGGTTTAGGGTTTAGGGTTTAGGGTTTAGGGTTTAGGGTTTGAAGCCTTCGTGCTGCGCAGGACTCTTCGACCTCGAGGTCTGCTGTAGCGACAGTCTAAATGCAGAAACAAAAAAATAAAAAGAAAATAAAAATTAAAATAAAAAAATAATCAATTAATTGATTAAATTAAATGATCAATTAATCAATTAATAATTAATTAATTAAATTGCAAATAATGCAAATTAACTAATGGATTAGTTAATTTGCAAATAATGAAAATTAATTAATTGATTAATTAATTAATCCGCAAACAACGCATATTAATTATTTAATTAATAAATACGACAAATAAATAAAAATAAAACAAAAGACAAAAATTGAAAACAAATAAATGAAAGCAAATGCGTAAATAAAAAACAACAGAAAATCTTCAAATTAAAAATCGCATTTGGCCTTTCTGCAAAAAAGGGAAATGCAAAAGTTCAAAAATAAATATTTCAAATTCATCAACAAAAAAGCAAAAACAAAAAATAAAAAAAATAAAAAAGGTTCAAGAATAAATATTTCAAATTCCTTCAAAAAAAGGCAAAAGCAAAAAATAAAATTAATAAAAAGTTCAAAAATAAATATTTCAAAATTTCTTTACAAAAAACAAAAGCAAAAAATAAAAAAAACAAATAAAAATAAAAAAAATAAATGTTCAAGAATAAATATTTCAAATTCCTTCACAAAAAGGCAAAAACAAAAAATAGAAAATAAGAAAATAAAATAAAAGTAAGTTCAAGAATAAATACATCAAATTCCTTTACAAAAAAGCAAAAACAAAAAATAATAAATAAAAATAAAAATAAAAATAAAAGTAAGTTCAAAAATAAATATTTCAAATTCCTTTACAAAAAAGCGAAAACAAAAAATAAAAAAATAAAAAAATAGAACAATTTCAAAGATAAACATTTCAAATTCCTTTGCAAAAAAGCAAAAACAGAATAAAAAACAATAAAAAATCAAAAAATAAAAGTTCAGAAATAAACATTTCAAATTCCTTTGCAAAAAAGCGAAAACAAAAAACAAAAAACAAAAATAAAAAAAGAAAATAAAAGTCGCCTTCACCTGCTCTCGGGTGTCTAGACAGCTCAGCGCCTTCTCGCCGCCGCCCGTGAAGATCTGTTGAGGTCTCAGAAGTTTATTTTCTGCATTTTTAATTTCAAATTCGAAATATTCTTTTAAATGCGAAGTCCATCCTGCCATTCTTGCAGCAGCAAAAAGCAGACAGAAGCAGCTGCTGCTGAACCCCAGCTGTCTGTACACCACGCCGCTGTAAAAGTCCACGTTCGGGTACAGCCGCCGCGACGTGAAGTACACGTCCTGCGCGCAAACCCTTTTTTAGGGTTTAGGGTTTAGGGTTTCCCCAGGCTCGCGGACCGCTGCGGAAACCCTCCGCTGAAGACGCTCGGATAAAGCTCCGAGGGTTTGGGTGGAAGAGAGGCCTCGCGAGGGTTTACGGCTCGCAAGGGTTTGCAAGGGTTTAGGGTTTGCGAGGGTTTGCAAGGGTTTAGGGTTTGCAAGAGTTTTAAGGGTTCAGGGTTTGCAAGAGTTTGAAGGGTTTAGGGTTTGCAACGGTTTGCGGGGGTTTTGCAGTTTAGGGTTTAGCGTTTGTGGTTTATGGTTTCTGGTTTTTGGTTCGGGGTTTAGGGTTTAGGGTTTAGGGTTTAGGGTTTAGGGTTTAGGGTTTAGGGTTTGCGTGCCTCCCTCCGTTTGACTTTTTCGAGAAAGTCTTTAACGTCATCTTTCGACTTTATTTTCTCCAGCATTTCAACCACCGCTTTGCTGGTGCCCTGCAGAAAAGAAACAAACACACTTTTGCTTTTTCCTTCACCTAGCTAGCCAGCTAGCTAGCTAGCTAGCTAGCTAGCTAGCTAGCTAGCTAGCGGGCTAGCTGGCTAGCTAGCTAGCTAGCTATCTGGCTGGCTGGCTAGCTGACTGGCTAGCTAGCTGGCTACCTAGCTGAATAGCTGGCTGGCTAGCTAGCTGGCTAGCTAGCTGAATAGCCGGCTGGCTAGCTAGCTGGCTAGCTAGCTGGCTAGCTAGCTGAATAGCTGGCTGGCTAGCTAGCTGGCTAGCTAGCTAAATAGCCGGCTGGCTAGCTAGCTGGCTAGCTAGCTGGCTAGCTAGCTAGCTGGCTGATTAGCTAGCTGGCTAGCTGTCTGGCAGCTAACTACCCTGCTGCTGGCTAGCCCCGAAACCCTCCCCCCTAAACCCTAACCCCGAAACCGCGCCCTACCCCGAAACCCCAAACCCCAAACCCCAAACCCTAAACCCTAAACCCTAAACCCTAAACCCTAAACCCTAAACCCTCACTCCGTGTCTGCGGCCGCTGAGGGCTGCCACTCCTGCTGCCAGCGCAGTGAAAATGTCGGAGTGCGAAGAAGCAACATGAAGAACTGCTGCAGTGCTGTTGTTGAGTTCGTGTTCCGCATGCAAAATGAACAAAACCTCCAGCGCCTGCAAAACCCTAAACCCTAAACCCTAAACCCTAAACCCTAAACCCTAAACCCTAAACCCTAGGCCCGCGGCAACGCGGGGTGGGGAGGGCGCACTGGGCAGGGGAGGCGCGCGCAGCAGCCCACGCACCGACAGCGCTCCCGTGGGAATTCAAAACCCTAAACCCTAAACCCTAAACCCTAAACCCTAAACCCTAAACCCTACGTACCCGGACAATGACGGGGTCATGGGGCTTCCCGTCAATCATGTAAAGAAAGTTCTCCACTAAATCCAAATCAGGATGTGGGTCCACGAAGCCCAAACCCTCGACGTGCCTGTCCGCAAACCCTAAACCCTAAATCAGGGTTTAGGGTTTGAAATTTCGCCGCTGGACAACCCTACACTGTCCCGCTGCGCGCTCGCCTACGGTTCAGCGCTAACAGTGTATGGCCTAGGGTTTAGGGTTTAGGGTCTGGGGTTTAGGGTATAGGGTGTGCGGTTTAGGGTTTAGGGTTTAGGGTTTAGGGTTTAGGTTTTAGGGTTTGGGGATGCCTGAGAATGTTAGCTGCAATGGTGAATCCTGCGGCGACGGCTCGGATGAGGAAAGCGTTTAAAGTCTTTTTGTTTTGCAGCGCAGCAGAGCCCCAAATTAAACTTCTCTGTTTGGGGCTGCATGCGCTGCATGCATTGCATGCATTGCATGCATTGCATGCATTGCATGCATTGCATGCAGTGCATGCAGTGCATGCATTGCATGCATTGCATGCGCTGCATGCGCCGAGGGCTGCCACTGCTGCCAAAAAGATGCTCGACGGAGACGCACACCGGTCGAAACTCTTAATCAAACCTGCAGCAGCAGCAGCAGCAGCAGCAGCAGCAGCAGCAGCAGCAGCAGCAGCGGCAGCAGCAGCAGCAGCAGCAGCAGCAGGAGTGGCAGCGGATAATTAAATAAGGAATAAATGAACAGATAAAGAATGAATAGATTCGCAAATAGGAACTAATAAACATAAATAAACAACAAATAAGTAAATAAATAAATAATAAATAAAAAGAAATAAATAAAAAACAAAACTCACTTTTGACTTGTTCAGGAACTTGGGCCATTTGTTTTATTTTTGTTTTCAAAAACTGCAGTTGGCCTTTTGTTGGCAAATCGCCAAACAGCAGCAAAAAAAAAACCTCTTCGTAACAAACCCTAGCTGCCAGTTCTTCAATAGCGTAGCCCCGGTACCTGCACAAACCCTAAACCCTAAACCCTAAACCCTAAACCCTAAACCCTACACGCTGAACTTGAGTTTCTGAGGATGACTAGCTGCAGACGCGCCGCCCAGGATTTAGGATTTAGGGTTTAGCGTTTAGCGTTTAGCGTTTAGCGTTTAGGGTTTAGGGTTTAGGGTTTAGGGTTTAGGGTTTAGGGTTTAGGGTTTAGGGTTTAGGGTTTGGGACCTGAGGACGCCCTTTTCCGCGTCGATGAAGCAAATGCGGCTGCTGCCCACGCAAGTGTTTATCAGCCCCGGGTCGAAAACCCTCAAGGGGGGCCCCCCGGGGGCCCTTATGGCAGCAAGTTCTTTGGCCTCTACTGTGTGCAGCTTGATGGGCACGCGGTACTCAGCCCCTGCAGCAGCAGCAGCAGCAGCAGCAGCAGCAGCAGCAGCAGCAGCAGCAGCAGCAGCAGTAGTAGCAGCAGTGGTAGCAGCAGTAGCAGCAGCAGCAGCAGCAGCAGTCGTAGCAGCAGTGGTAGCAGCAGCAGCAGCAGCAGCAGTGGCAGCAGCAGCAGCAGTAACAGCGGTAGCAGCAGCAGCAGCAGTGGCAGCAGCAGCAGCAGCAGCAGTAGGAATAGCAGGAGCAGCAGGAGAAGTAAACCCTAAACCCTAAACCCTCAGCAGGGAAGCCCAAACCCTTGCCCCCAAGACCGCATAAACCCTTCACAATAAACCCTTGACGGCAAACGCCAAAACTTGAACCCTCAACCCGGAACCCGAATTCGCTCTCAGCCTTAAACCCTAAACCCTAAACCCTAAACCCTAAACGCTAAACCCTAAACCCTAAACCCTAAACCCTCGGAGGACGCACCGGTGCGCTCGTCTATGATGCGGAGACTCTGGCGGCTTTCATTCTCCTCAGCCAAAGACAGAGCCGGGGCCAGGTGACCTTTCAAAGCCCCCAGCATGGCGAGAGGGTTTAGGGTTTAGGGTTTAGGGTTTAGGGTTTAGGGTTTGGCTGTTGAGCGGCAGCGCGGCACTGCCGCGGCGAATTCGGCTGAAGAAGTTGCGCTGACGAAAACAGGCGTTCTGGCTCCCTCTAAACTTGGGTCGCAAACCCTAAACCCCAAACCCCAAACCCTAAACCCTAAACCCTAAACCCTAAACCCTAGTTGCCGGCGTAGCGTAGCATTTAAGAAAGCCAGCCACCGGAAGAAGGCAAAAGGGCTGAGGATGTCCTCTGAAGAAAAGAAATAAATTTATTTTGTAATTTGAAGCAATCTTGTTTGCAGCGCAGCGGGGGGTTGGGGTGTACGTACACCTGGGCGGCAGCAACACGTAGGTGACCCTGTGGCTGGTGAGAACAACACCTTGGGGGGAAAAGTGTCGAAAAGTTTGAAATAAATATTTATTTGGATCACATTTTACGTTTTAATTACTTTAAATCAAATAATAATGCAAATATATTCAGTTTCCAGCGTATTCCACGCAGTGACCTTCCCGCCTTCGCCGCAGCTCCTCGAACGCGCTTGCGGGCAGTATGCAGGTTTTCCTTCTCGCATTTCTCCCGAATAAAGACAATTACGTAAATAAAATATAAAATAAAACTTAAAAATTAATTTATTTATCAAAAAATACAAATGGAAGTGGGCGATCCAGCGGCGGGCTCTCGGTGACCGCTGTGGGGCCCCACTTCCTGTGTACGTACACCCCAGCCGCACACACGCCCTGGGCCTCGGCGCAGCAGAAAGAAATAAATGATTAATGAAGAAAGAAACAAATAATTAACGCAGAAAGAAATAAATAATTAATGCAGAAAGAGACAAATAATTAAAAAACAGAAAAGAAGTTGAGGAGCATCACGTGGCGCTGCGGTGTACGTACACCCGGTAGCTTCAGCGTCCGCATATAATTCAGGTGTACGTACACCCCAAAGCGGGATGCTACAGAGAGACAAAAACTGCATTTTTCCCCTTTTGGTTTTTCAACTTTTTTGGAGTCTTTTAATGCACTATTTTACAGATTTAATTGCAATCAGAATCCCAATTATTTGTCATTTCCAAATAAGGCCTTTAAGGCATTTTTTATTTTAATTAATTTAAAAACAATTAAAAATAAAGAAATCCTTCCGGCGCTTTTGGTGCTCTTCAGTCAAAAAAGCCCAAACTCCTGCTCGCCGCAGGCTCCCCAAACCCTAAACCCTAAACCCTAAACCCTAAACCCTAAACCCTCGCTGCCCCACACCAGCCTTAAAAAGTGGCTTTTCCAAGCCATAAAACGGCCCCTTGCTGCGCTGCAGCCGCTGCTGCTGCTGCAACTGCTGCTGCTGCAGCTGCTACAACTGCTGCTGCCGCGGCTGCTGCAGCAACTGCTGCTGCAGCAACTGCTGCTGCAGCAACTGCAGCTGCCGCTGCTGCAACTGCTGCTGCTGCTGCTGCAGCAGCAGCAGCAACTCAGCAGACCACCCCAATAATAGGGTTTGTGATTCGAATGAGGTCCAAAAGGTTTATTTGGAGTTTCAAATCGGGGGCCCCCCCCCCCAAAAAAAGAGAAAGGGGAAAAAGAGATAATAAGGGTTTAGACAAAATTACAGGAATTTCTTTTTTGCTGCCAAGGGGGCCCACCCCGTTTCTTTTGAAACCCGTCAAACCCTCGAAAGAAGAACAAAAGTTGAAGTTCAAACGCTTGTTCCCCAGCTGCCGACCCACCTGCACGCAAACCCTAAACCCTAAACCCTAAACCCTAAACCCTAAACCCTAAACCCTAAACCCTAAATCCTAAAGGCTGGGTCCTGAAGGCTCGATGCTGGGCCCAAAGTCGCAAGGAAATGTTTGGTGCGGATTTGCCTGGGAGGAAAACGCTGATGAGAACGAGGAACCGAAACCCTAAACCCTAAACCCTAAACCCTAAACCCTAAACCCTAAACCCTACTTTCGCGTTTTCCGCTTTTATGAGGTCCTTAACCCTTTCGCCATTCAGTTTGTCTTTGGACTGCAAAACCACCAAGTAGTAGCGGCTGTTCAGCCGGTCCTCAGGCCCTGTACACACAAACCCTAAACCCTAAACCCTAAACCCTAAACCCTAACCGCGGAAAACACCCAAAAAGGGGCACTTTTGAGGCATTTTTTCATCCCTTTTCTGCTTCTTTTTGCATTTACGGATAATGGCATTAAAATTAAACATTAGGTTTACTTTAATTTAAAATAAAATAATTAAACAAAATTAAAAACGCATTTGCGCAAAGTCGCGCATGCAAGCGGGGCTTCTCGCAGGCGCTGCGGTGTATGTACACCGCCTGCATGCGCCCGTCTCGCGAAAACAGACAAATAAAAAAATAAAAAAATTAAAATAAATAAAAATAAATAAAATAATAAAACAAAAATAAAATTAAATGTTGGAAGTTAAAGTTCAGAGAGAAGATTTCGTCTTCAAAGAATTTCAGACTCAAACGGAACGAAATTGTTTTCATCCTTTTCCGAAAAAAATAAAATAAATAAAACTAAAATAAATAAAAATAAAATAAATAAAAATAAAATAAATAAAAATAAAATAAATAAAAATAAAATAAATAAAAATAGAATAAATAAAAATAAAAAAACAAATACTGTACAAGTGATAAATAATAAATGTATAATATAAGTAATAATAACTGGGCAATAAAAAAATTAAATAAATAAATAAATTAATTAAATAATTAAATTAAAAAACAATTAAAAACAAAATGATTCGTGTACAGACACTGCTGCACGCATGTACAAACACTGCAGCAACTGCAGCAGCAGCTGCTGCTGGAGCAGCAACTGCGGCTGCTGCTGCAGTTGCTGCAACTGCAGCAGCTGCTGCTGCTGCTGCAGCTGCTGCTGCAGATGCTGCTGCAGCAGCAGCAGCAGCTGCTGCTGCTGCTGCTGAGGTGTACGTACACCTGACTCGCCTGCATGTTTTGTGTTCTCGACAACAATTGTTTTGCAAAGTTGATTAATTGTTTTTGCTCCCAAAAGAGGAAGTCTTTCTTCTAAATTCGAAACATAATATATTTCTTTATTAATTCGAAACAAACGGAATTCGCACACGTGCCCTTTTGCTGCTGCTGCTGCTGCTGCTGCTGCTGCTGCTGCTGCTGCTGCGCGCGCGGCTTCCTCGGACGCCCCCGCAGCCACGACTTCGGCTGCTGCTGCTGCTGCTGCTGCTGCTGCTGCAGGATCAGCAGCAAGAGCAGCAGCATCAGCAGCAAATAAGGAACGCATGCGTCTTTCTTGTTCCGCGGAATGCTCCATTTCATCTTCAACAGTTGGGGGCCCCTCGGGGGGCCCCTCAGGGGGGCCCCCCGGCGAGGGGGGCCCCCCGGGGGCCCCCTCTGGGGGGCCCCCCTGTGTTGGGGGCCCCTGTGAAGAGGCTTCCTGGGGGGGCCCCTGAGAGGGTTCTTCAGGGGGCCCCTGTGGGGCCCCCTGAGTTGCAGCTTCTGCTGCGGGGGCCTCCCCGGGGGGCCCCCCGGGGGGCCCCTCGGGGGGCCTCCCCGGGGCCCCCTCGGGGGCCCCTGAAGGGGGGGGGCCCCCCTTAAAGTCCCCCTGGGGGCCCCCCAGGAGGCCCTGCAGGGGCCCCTGGGGGCCCCCTGGGGCCCCTGATGATGACTCTGTGGTCATGATGCCTGTGGCTAGCAAAGCTTAGGGGTGTTGAGGAAACCCTAAACCCTAAACCCTAAACCCTAAACCCTAAACCCTAGCGGCTGAGAGCGCCTCTGCACTGGAGGGGGCTTTGCGCTGCTGTCAGGAGAAGTGGCGCTGGCCAATGCAGCAGCAGCAAAGCAAACAAAACCACAAAAAAGGGTTTAATAGTTTTAAAAATAATAATTAAACCCTTTTAAATCAATTAATTGGAAATTAAACTTCGAATTAAACGCTGGAGAGGGAGAAAGAGTCCCGCGGAGGAAAAAAGCCAGAAAGCTGGCGGCTGCATGCGGGAGCATCCCGTGGGACTTTTTGAGTTGTTTTGTCTAAAAATAAACAATAAAATCAAATTAATTGAATTTAATTGAACTAATTAATGCAAATTAATTCACTGAAGGCGAAGAAAGCGCCAAATCGCGTAGCGACAGTTGCGGCGAGTTCGGGTGTACAGACACCTCAAGGAACCCCCGGGTTCTCTACACTCCACTCCGCTTCTAATTATTCATTTCTTTTTTTATTTTTATATTTTTACTTCTTTTTCGCCAATTTATCCTTCGATTTTGCAAAAAGGGCTCCAGGCGCCAGCTATTTCCCCCAAGACATGGAGGCGTAAGGGTTTAGGGTTTAGGGTTTAGGGTTTGCGAATGTCTCGCCCACCCACTCCGCCTTCGCCACTCTTGCTGCTTGAGGATGTTGACTGGTGAGCTTTTGAGGGTTTGCTGCTGAGGGTTTAGGGGACTGGACTCGGGGGTTTAGGGTTTAGGGTTTAGGGTTTGGGACTTTCCTTTGCACACACATCTCCATTAGCAGAGCGTAAACCACCGTTTGAGGGTTTACGTTTCCTGCCTCTTGGAGAGTTAGTTCTGCATTTGCCGGTGGTTTAGGGTTTAGGGTTTAGGGTTTAGGGTTTAGGGTTTATGTTTGCGGCGGTTTAGGGATTTTAGTCGTTGGGGCCCTCTGGGGTGTCACTACGCCGCTGCTGCGCTTGGAGAGTTTGGAGCAGCAGCAGCAGCAACAGCAGCAGCAGCAACAACAGCAGCAGCAGCAGCAGCAGCAACAGCAGCAGCAGAGAAAAGGGAACACTAAATATCCGCTGCTGCTGCAGCTGCTCCTAAGGTGGCGAGTGAGCTCCCAGACCCTAAACCCTAAACCCTAAACCCTAAACCCTAGACCACAATACAGCGAATAACCAGTGCACTGCTTGCCCGCTTTTCCTCTGCGTGCGTTTTGGGGGCTCCACTTTGGCCCAGCCTGCAGCCGCAGCGCTTAGGGTTTAGGGTTTAGGGTTTAGTGTTTAGGGTTTAGGGTTTAGGGTTTGTCTCAGTTCCTGGCGCTGTACCTCCTCAACCAGTTGGGCTCCGTCGTCTTCTTCATCCTTCTTGGCACATACGGTCAGCTAGCTAGCTAGCTAGCTAGCTAGCCAGCCAGCTAGCCAGCTAGCTAGCCAGCTAGCTAGCCAGCTACCTAAGCAGCTAGCTAATCAGTTAGATAGGCAGCTAGCTAGCCAGCTAGCTAGCGAGCCAGCTAGCCAGCCAGCTATCTGGCTAGCTAGCCAGCTAGCCAACTAGCTAGCTAGACAGCTAGACAGACATCTAGCTGGCTGGCTAGCTATCCAGCTATCTGGCTAGCTAGCCAGCTAGCTAGCTTAGCCAGATAGCTAGCCAGCTAGCTACCTGGATGAATAGCTAAGCAAATGGATAGACGGATTGTACCTGGCTAGCTAACCAGCCAGCTAGCTAGCTGGGTTGAGAGATGCGTAACTAGCTAGCTAGCTAGCTAGCTAGCTAGCCAGCTAGTTAGCTGGCTAGCTAGCTAGCTAACTAGGCATCTGTCGGCGGATAGAAAGCTAGCTAGATGGCTAGATAGCCAGCTAGCCAAGAAGCCAGCCAGACGGCTGGCTGACTAGCTAGCTAGCTAGCCGGCCAGCTAGCTAGCTACCTAACTAGCTAGTTAGCTAGCTAGCTAGCTACCTAACTAGCTAGCTAGCTAGCTAGCTAGCTAGCTAGCTGTTTCTGCCTTTGATCGTTTGCGTTTGCGTCTCTGCTGTTCGTTGCGGCGCTCCCGCTCCGCAGCGCCTGGGGCCTAGGGTTTAGGGTTTAGGGTTTAGGGTTTAGGGTTTGTGCGCAGAAGTGATGGTGACTTCGCCGTTGGCAAATGGCCTGGCTTTTTTTTTCACTTTTTTGACGGAGGCGTTTTTGGCGCGGCGGTGGCCTAGAAAAAGTAATTTAATTTATTTAAATTATTTAAATTAATTTAAATTAATTTAATTTAATTTATTTATTTATTTATTTATTTATTTATTTATTTATTTATTTATTTATTTGTTTATTTATTTGTTTATTAATAATGGTAACTAATGAAGGCGCATTTAATTAAACAATCAAATATATATTTATTTATTTGTTTGTTTATTTATTTATTTATTTGTTCACAATTGGTTAAATGGCTAGTTCTTTGACAAACCCCTTTTATTATTTATTTATTATTTATCATTTGTTTATTTATCACTTGTTCATTTATTTGTTATTATTATTTATTATTTGTCTATTTATTTATTATTTATCTATTACTTGCTGCAGTTGTAAAAGCAATAAATGAATAAAAGAAAAATAAAAAGCAAAAAAATAAAATAGATTAAAATAAATTAAATTAAATTAAATTAAATTAAATTAAAATAAATTAAAATTAAATTAAAAAACAATTTTTGTTTGCAGGGGAAGTTCTTGGCTCTTTGCTGGTGCTGCTGGGGTTTTGGCTCTGTCTTTTTTCTCGGAAAAAAACAAACAAATAAATAATTAATTTAAATTCACTTTCATTCATTTAAACCATTTAAATGCTCCTTTCAATCCTTTCTTTCTTCGCCGAGGGTTTAGGGTTTAGGGTTTAGGGTTTGGGGCTTGGGGTGTACGTACACCTCAGCGCAGGCTGGCGCCGCACTCAGCGCCGCAAGTGCGGAAAGAAAGTTCAGCCCCCAAACCCTAAACCCTAAACCCTAAACCCTAAACCCTAGCCCGCAGGGTTTAGGGTTTGTGTGGGGTTTGGCGCCGGCCGCGCGGGCGCGCAACTCCTAGGGTTTGCGCGCCCAAAACCCTAAACCCTAGACCACAGCCTTTGGTCTCCAAAGCCCTAAACCCTAGACGAAGACCTAGGGTTTGGTTTTTAAACCCGTAAACCCTAGACGAAAGCCTAGGGTTTGGCCTAGGGTTTGGCCTAGGGTTTAGGGTTTCGGACGAGCTTTTCAAACCCTTGTTTTTCAATCTCAGAAGCCAATTCTATTCCCCCAGACATCACTATTTGTCCTGCATGCATTATATGGACTTTTTGGGGTTTTAAAAACTCCAAAAGTTTCCTGTAGTGAGTTGTAATGAGGAAGGAGGCGTCGCTGTTCGCCGCTGCAGGCCCACAAACCCTAAACCCTAAACCCTAAACCCTAAACCCTAAACCCTCGCTGGCGGCGCCCGGGTCGCCGCCGCGGAGCTACGGAGCCGCCCAGGCGGCAAAACGAGGGTTTAGGGTTTGCTGCGCAGACGCTAGGGTTTAGGGTTTACGGATTGGAGGTTACTTCTAGGGTTTAGGGTTTGCCGCTTAGGGATGCGGACTTAGGGTTTACGAAAAGCCTGGGTGGCATTACTTGCGTCCTTCGAGGGTTTACAGTCTAGAATCAGGGTTTAGGGTTTAGGGTTTAGAGTTTCGTGCTGTCTTGAAGGGCATTTCAGCTGCCTCGAAGTCCCCGGAGGGACAAGGGTTTAGGGTTTAGGGTTTAGGGTTTACCGGGCCCTGACGGCGGTTTGGAAGTGCCCCTGAGCGTGGCTTAAAGTCTACCGCATGTGCGTGAAAGCCTCTAAAGACGGCTTAACTTTAGGGTTTAGGGTTTAGGGTTTAGGGTTTAGGGTTTAGGGTTTACCGCATTGCTGGACAGCAGCAACGGCGGTTCGGAAGTGCCCTTGGCGTGACTTAGAGTTGACCGCATGTCTGAAAGCCTCTAAAGACGGCTTGCAGCCACCGCCTAGGGTTTAGGGTTTAGGGTTTAGGGTTTAGGGTTTAGGGTTTAGGGTTTACCGTATTGCTGCACGGCGGCGACGGCGGTTTGGAAGGCGTCGACGTCGAGGCCCGAGTCCAGTTCGTCCAGCAGCGCCAGCGAGGGTTTGAGGGCCAGCAGCTGCAGCAGTTCATTTCTTTTCTTTTCTCCGCCGCTGAATCCGTAGTTCAAGGGCCGCTGCAGGAAAGCAGCAGGAAGGTCCACCACCTGCAGCAGCAGCAGCAGCAGCAGCAGCAGCAGCAGCAGCAGCAGCCGCAGCAGCGGCAGCGGCAGCGCCGGAGGGGGCGCGGTTGTGGAGCGGCAGCGGGCGGGGGCGGGGGAGCCGCAGCAGCAGCAGCAGCAGCAGCAGCAGCAGCAGCAGCAGAATTGCAGCAGCAGCAGCAGCAGCAGCATTGCAGCAGCAGCAGCATTGCAGCAGCAGCAGCATTGCAGCAGCAGCAGCATTGCAGCAGCAGCAGCAT